CAGAAGAGTGAATATAAGAAATGTATGTTCTTGTTAAGATGCTTTTATCTAATCATATATATGTTTTGTTTTTTTAGGTTTGTGGGGTTGGGTAAGGTGATTGAACCTTGTGGGGGATACTATATCCTTTTGTTCTAACACCTGTATATATTCTATATGTACTAATCTTGAAATAAATAAATAAATAAATAACTAGTAGAGCCCTGGTCCTAATTTTCCTGGTCCTAATTTTCCTCAAATCTAAACTTATAGGTTGGAAGAAGCCTCGTTGCCTCTTAACCAGGAGAGTTCGTGGTTGATTTCCGGAAAGGAAATGATGGAATTTTTTCCTGACGTCATGACAGGACGGAAAATGCGTGCACAGTTAGTACATCACGTTGTCCCATACAAAGCCTTAGAAAACTTTTCTAAGGCTTTCTATGGGAGAACGGGAGGTACCTACAGTGCGCTCATTTTTCGTCCTGTCATGAATCAGTTATCAACTGGGAGACGTGCAACAGAAGTAGATTTTTCAAAACTTTGAGCTTCTTAACATTACATACGAATTGTACTTTTTGCCTTATTCCGGCACCTATCAGCTTTTAAACTGACCAGAAGTTGACATGTCAAACAACTTGCATTTAGATAATCAAATCAGTGGTCGAATAACAAACTGTGTATTCCAGTTGGACGTATCGTGTAGCCCCCTCAATAACGCATATGCAATGGGATTACATTTGTCAGATGAATACAAAGATTATCGACTTTCTACGATGACTAATCTCCAAACTCTTTTTCATGTCATCTTTAAAGCGCTGAATAAGTTTTTTCGCCATACAGAGTTTAAAAATAAATTTTAATTGAAATCACTTTACAACTAAATACGACCTAGTGTTTCAAATTTGGATAGTAGTTTGTCATGATGACGAAACGCTGGGCTCTGATTGGTTAACAAGTTTTATTTGTTGTCTCTCCGAATACAAGCAACTCATATTTGAGCAGGTGAAATCAGTGAGTTAAGCCAATGAAAATCGAGGGATGTATTAGATAGTTAAAAACAAAAATTAGATAAGATTCCCCGTCACGCTGGCATATTAACTTCTCAGCCGGTCCGGACATAATTTATTCCATGTGTGAGTCTCTCGCATGTTATCATTGTCTGGTGGCTTTCATGATCATTTACTTCATCGTAATTTCTTATCAGTCAATCCCTGTCATAGAAACAAGAAAAAACGCAAGAAAATGGAAAAAGCCCAATAGGGAGTCATTAACACATAAAATTGCCAGCATTTCGCACGGCAGGTAGATAACCTGTTCTAAATTTCTTCGAAATGCTCCTCTCCCATCTTAAAATTCATCATAGGAAATATGTACTTACCGCAAAAAAAAACATAACCAGCATTTCGCACAGCAGATAGATAACCTGTTTCGGAAGTCTTCAACATGCTCTTCTCCCATCTTAAAATTTATCATGCAAAAATGTATTTACCTAATATAACCATAATTTCGCACAGCGGGAGGACAACCTGTTCATGATGTCTTCGAAATGCTCCTCTCCTATTTAAAGATTCATCATGCAAAATATGTATTTACTTAATATTACTAGCATATCGAAATCCTCCTCTTCCATAGTAAAATTCATCACGCAAATATGTTCTTAATATTCATCTTGTTGATCTGATCAGTGTTACTAAAGTTTTGATCAATTTCATTATCTAAGCCATTGCGCGCCTACTCCTCCCCTAACTAAACAACAGTCAACTTAGTTAATGTTGACACAGTTGTTAAAATACTGACGCTAGTGCCAAGATTTCTTCTTCTTGTAGTCATCAAATGTAAAGTAAAGTAAAGTAAGTAAGTAGTAAAGAAAAGTTTACTGATAGTGTTTCCACAGAGTGGCTCTTCATCTGTCACTAACTAAATACATTATAGGATCAACTAAAACCTATTTAATATTTACAAATATAAATTTAAAGTAGCTAAACATTCCAGTCTGTATACACTTAAAATTTAAACTAATTTAAAATTACTAAAGCCGTGCCTTCGCCCGGTTTTTTAAGTATTTAAATAAACGCGATGTAAAAATATGCAAGTCATCACAGGTTTTCAGTTCCTTTGGTAGATTATTTAATATAAAACGGCCGAGGTGTCTTGAAAGGTCTCCTTTTTTAAAGGAACCTGTAGTCTAATACAGTCTGATGAGTGCAGCTCTCTGCGTGAAGGGACTCGTTGTAAGCTCAGATATATTGGTTACTGTTTAAAATAAAGCGCTCTAAAGGTCAACTTCAGCAAATTAAAATGCCTTCTTTCTTCCGCAGGAAGCCAATTTAGCTTTAAATTTTCTCCAATGTTATTAACATATCTGCCATAAACAAAACTTGCGGCAGCAAACTCAATTTTTTGAAGGCGCTTCAGCAAGTATCGCGGCAGAGGTGAAAAGACGGAGTGACAATAGTCGCAGAGGTAGTTTGTCATCCAAGACAAAAAGGGTTTTGAGAAACCCATTCTGCACATCTTTTGTATGATAGCAGAATACGACACGGTGTAAAATGCTTTGGAGTACTCGGCCAACACCATTAAGGTAAGTTCGCCTTTTTTCATGGCCCTGATTATCTAATGCGCAATAAGACAATGGTGGTTGAATGGCCTTTACCGAATCCAGAGATCGTTTGCTTCAAGAATTGATTAACTTCAATGTAGTCAACTTAAA